GCACCCCCATCATGTTCCCCATCAGGGCAGCACCTCAGGTCCTCAGCCCCAGCTCACCTGGCACCAAGCAAATACTCACGAAGGGACCAGTCTTGGCCATGAGAACTCACAGCAGATTCATCAGCCTCTTAGGCAACACGAAGCAGGCAGCTGTCAGATACCACTGAGCTAGGTGTATAAGAACCCCTTGAATTTCAGCCTCCAAGGCCAGCAAGCCAGTGCCTTCCTCCACTAAGCCAGCCCCTGCTAAGCTAATAATCAGGGGATTTTCCTGGGTCTGCCAAGTCAGAAATAAGCTCTCCCAGAGAGCCAGATAACACCCAGCCACCCCCTCTTGCCTCTGGTACCTTGGGGCTGCTGTCAAATTCCTAGTGTGCCTTTGTGCCAGGGAGAGAATTGCTTCCTGGTTTTCAGGCCAAAGGGCAGCGCCTGGCTCCATACAGATCGGTTTGCAGACCCAGAGCCAGCAGTGCTCAATGAGCTTTCCACAACTAATCAGCAAGTCACTTCCTTCCTCCATCCCCCACGCTTGCAAGGGACCTAGAATTAATGAGCGCCTCTGTCAGATAACAAGTCTGCCCACACCTGTTCACGACACACAGCCATGGCAGGCGACCAAGTTGCAACGCAGGTCAAACTTGTCCTGGTGGTGGAATCTTATCCACGTCCGATAAGCAACCCAGGGTGGCTGACTCTGCCTTTATGACACGGTGGGAACCTGCCCTGGGCCAGTGCCCTGGAGCATCTGATGCCCGGAAACTCACCTCACAGCAACTTCCTCACATGCCCACAATCTCGGGTGGATTTAGGTGGATCTGCCTTTGGTAATGTCTGGGGGGTGGGAAGTAATGCAGTTGCACCCCCCCTTCATCCCTGCTCCACCCAAACTTTAAAACCTGGGAGGAGCATCAACATTTCCTCAGTGCTGCCTGAATAGAAATCAATTGACCTCAGTTTGATTCCTGCTAATCTCTCCCCTCCACAGGTGTTAACCCCACTCTCCTTTTCAACGGCCTTGATGTTCCACGACTTGGCCTAGCCTTTCTTCTGCAACACTGCTGTCCGTCAACCCTCCCTGGTAATGTTTCTCCTATTTCACAGCCCTGCAGACTGTTCTTAGCTCTAGCTAAAACCATAACTCAGGTGTGGTCAGAAATCAACTTAGGTGTCAAAATTACTGACTGTGAAGTATTAGAAGTGTTGTCAAGAGCTCAAGGCAGCATGTTTCTTATTCAGATTAATTTGTCTTATGATTCTGAATAAGAGACATACGTTTCACTAAAACGGCTAATGACCATATACATTTTGACTATTTTTTGCCTGGCATTTTGCATTTTTTTTTAAACTATATATAATCTAGCAGATTGGTGCACCTGCAAATAGTTCAGTCTGTATGGCGCTAGCCACCTAACCTTAGCAAAGTGCCTAGCTTCTCTATCTGGAGACAAATGTGTCATGTCATACACCACATCTGTACCCCCCTTTGCAATATCCTAGATCCACCTCAATACAGCATCCATCCAGGGGCTCGATGCAGTTGAACTCAGCTGCCCTCAGGCCACACCTTTCCTTCATTCAGATTTACCTTCCAGCGCCAGGACACAAATCAGGGCAATGGCAAAGCCTCACTCACCACAGTCACTGGTGCAGGACCCCTGCTCTGAGCTGCTACCTGCTGCCCTGCTGGGATCTCACGCACAAGGTTTTCTCAGTAGATCCTTTCAGGATGGACTGTGGAGGGATCCCTCGAGAGACAGATCAGCACGTTGAAAGCAACTGGAAAGACAGCGCGAGGCCTGCACGCTTGTGGCTTCAGGCGGCTGCTCTGTCTTGGTCCCAGGAACAGGAAGGCCTGTTCAGACCCTCACTGTGTCGCAGGCCAGGGGGACTGACTGCATTGCCCAGCTCCCGGATTCACAGGCTTCAAGCTGTTGTTCTGAGGCTGGGAAGGGAAGAGGGTTCCCAGCCATCCTCCTGCTTGTGTCACTCTGCATTCAGGCTGCTTAAGTCCCTGCGCTCTCAGAGGCCATTGGTCTCGGCCAAACTCCCAGAGTTGGGATGCAGTGCAGAAAGAATGACTTGAATTCATGTTCACGAGCTCCTGGAGCAGAGATGCTGGCAAAGGGAGATGAGCTCTCTGGAGGTTGCCCTCTGATCATACTACTGCATAAGCAGTGTGGCTGGGGTGGGGGGGTACTCATTCTCAAGAGCAGACTCAGACCTGTGCCTCCCCCCAGCCCTGCAAGCATGCAGACCCCAGCCCCCACAGTGGGTGGCCCTGTGCTGGGCAGGGATCCCATCCCACGTGCAGAACCTGAGGCTGGGCAGGAGCCACCAGCACCCGTTGCACAACCATCCTCCAGGCACCCTAGATCCAAGTCACCCCCATATCCTGGGGACGGGCTGAGGCAGCTGCAGGAACCAGGGCCTCTCTGTGCAGACGTCCAGCCCAGCCTGGAGGGGACACCTACTGCCCTGGTGCTGCAGGCACATCCCAACCCAAGAGCCCAGAGGCTGCAACATAACACCACCCCCTTAGCCGAGCTTTAAGGCCGTGTTGAGTTTACAGACTCCTGGTTTAGACCCACGTCAGCCAGCAGGACCTGAAGAGCCCCAGGATCATGGCCACAGCTGCTCTAAAATGAGAAGGGCCCGAGCCAGCTGGCATCTGGCCGTGGCACACAGGCCAGGGGCACAAGCAGGTTCTAGCTGCACATCCATGCTAGGCACTGGATATCACATGGGACCTGGGCCCTGACCAGCACCCATTGCACCCCCAATTGCAGAGACTAGGCGCAGCCAGACTCAGCTTTGAATGTATAAAGTTTATTTAAAATACAAGTTTGTGGGAAAAGGCAGGAGAACCTGATCCATAGTCACGAGCTGCAACAGGCAAGAGTCACTTAAATGTCTCCTGTCCAAGACGCCGGCATCTGCCTTACATGCCAACCACTCTGTGGGGGATTGTGGGTCAAGCATCCCCTCACAGCCACAGGAGAGAGGGACCAGGCCCTCCCCATCCCCAAGCAGGTAACCCTTTCTCCCCACCTTAGCACCGGGGTGAGAGCCTGGGGGGACACATGTTGATGGCCCCAGCTCTGCTGCAGGTGGGTGCTAGCACCAGCTCAGCCCCGTGCGGTGCAGCCTGGAGTCACTCAGCCCAGCCAGCTCCGTGCCCGTGGCCTGAGCAGCCTGTGAAAGATGCTCAGGGCTCTTCTTGTCTAGACCCACAGCCCACACCCAGCCAGCCCAGGCTCCTCCATGCTGGGAGTCAGTCTGGAAGGCTGGCAGCAACCCCCAAAACCTTCCTCCTGAAGCCATGGATGAACCCATGCCCCTCCAGCCATGAGCCTGCAGCCCTTGGCACAACCCAGAAAACTGTCCTGGAAGGCAGGACTTACAGTGACTGGTGACAAGTCAGTGCCCCGCAGGCAGCCTGGAGCCTGTCACTGCTCCGATACCTTCCAACTTGACCAGAGGTGTGGGCAGTTTCCCTTGGAGCTGCTGTTCCCATGGCCCATAAAGCCTCTTGCCCCATCCTTGGCATTGGGCTGCAGAGACCGCTCAAAGCACCCAAGGCCTCGCTGGCATTGAGCAGATGTTGCTGCAGGTCAGGTCACAGGCCAGGACAGAAGAATCAGATAAGGTGGAGTCAGAAGGGCACAAGATTGGAGCAGGTTCAGGTGAGACCAGGCATAGGGGGTGCGGACATGAAGCCAGAGATAGTCCCTGAACTGAAACCAGTTTAAAAGCCTGTTTTAACCTCACCCCAAATTCCCACTGGGAATTTCTCTGGCTAAATCCCCCCAAGAATTAAGGCACTGGGGTCAAGGCCTGCCTTGCAGTGGGGGGCGGGGGGCGCTCAGGGCCGGAGCAATGGATGAAGTAACTGCAGCAGACCAGCTTTTGTGGATGGGAACAGGCAGCTGCACTGTCCAGTGAGGCCAAGGCTGGCACCCATGACAGCAGAAGCTGGGAGACCCTGGAGCTGCCTTCCAGTTTCACGTTCCTAAAAGCAAGCAGTGCCTGAGTCCACGTAGACCAGGTCACTCGAACCCAACCAGCCCCAGCAGCAGCAGTGCAGCCCTGAGGCAGGGACCCAGCAGCTCAGGCCAGCATCCCCAGGGCTTACGCGGGGCTCTGGCCAGCCTTTGTAGACTGCACTGGACCCTAGGCTCCAGTGTCACCAGTGCCTGGGTCCCAGTCAGTGGTTCCAGGGCACAGATGCAGCCCATGCATGTTGCCTCCTTGACAGTCTTTGTTCTCCCACTCATACTAGGGGACACCGGGCAGCCAAGGCTCCACTGGGCTCCCCCTCTGGCTTCTCCAATCCCAGCCCCTTGCACAGGTGGCCACTGGCCAGGCCCTGCTCACCCCAGACTGGTGGGCTGCCCAGCTTCAGACCTGAGCAAGAGGTGGAGGACAAGGAGATTCTGCACTGGAGCCAGCCCTGGAGCCTCCCAGAAGGCACATAAGGGACTGAGCCAGCGACACAGAAGCCACCTGCCCTAGCTAGGGGCTGTTCCAGCGTCTCACCCCCCCTCACCCAGTCCATTGTCAGAAGAGGACTGGGGCAGGACAGAGGGGAATGGGGAAAGAAGTACTTCAGTGCTAAGACTGGACCCCAAGCACCCCCAGGGACTGCCACAGGCCAAAGACCCTTGGCTTTTCCACTCCAGGGTCTAGATAGACTCAGGACTCATTACAAAGGCACGCAGGTGCCCAGCTAAGCACTGACCTCCAGCTGACAGCACCTGAGGGGCATCGCTAGGTGCCTACACAATAGGCTCAGCCTGGCTCCTAGTCACCTACAACAGCCAACAGCGACAGTGTCCAGCAGGTCCCTGCCAGTGGCAGTGCGTAGCAGGTGCACATATACCCCAAGAGTGCTGGTGCACCCCAACAGCCAGCGTTCCCTGCTTTAGGGGACAGGTGGGGGAGGCAGGCAAGAGCACTGGTGCCCCCCCTGAGAGCACCAGCTGGGGAGTGGGGGTGCCAGGGGAAGAGAGGAAGTGTTCTCCTGCGGCCAATCGTATCAACCCAGAACCCCCCGTGGTCAGTGCGATCCCACCCACACCAGTTGCTGACTGGCTGCTGTGGGGGCAAGTGCCCCCCCTGAGTCAGGAGGCACCAATCACCCGTGGTCTCTGCCACACTTCTCCATTAAGGGCAGAGCCAGAAACAGCCCTCTCTGAGCCCCAGGGGCCACTGTCCTCTCCTGTTGCACACCCATGCCCACACATATATTCTACCCTCCACCCCCCCATGTACAAAAATATTTGGTTAAGATGTGAGCCGTCCATCCTTAAAGCAATGCCCTAAGAACAAAGAACCGTCAAATAGGATTTGCTGGGGTACCTGCACCCATTTCCATCTGTCCCTACCCCCACAAGAATTAACCCAGAACACCAGCCTGCCCTTCCTTCATGGGATTATTGCTAGAGTTCACAACCAGGCCTGGTGCCGCCACTGGCCGACAGCTCCTTCAACATGGCTGGTGTCCCGGTCAACTCCATGCCAAGGAGGCATTTTCCCTTCAAGAGAAGATGGGTCTGGCCTTTGTCCAAGGGAGGAGCCTGGCTCGGCCCCCAGCATGGCAGCCGCTAGCATGAGCTGGTCTGCAGGTTTGCCTCAGTCAGCAGCGAGGCGATGGAGGATGGGCCATAAGCGCTGTCGAACTCCTCGTCTGAGCTCAGCTGGTCATCCTTCAGTGAGGCCTCTGCAGCTGAGCGTGCTGCTTTGCGCCTGGTGGGAGGGGAGAAGAAAAAGGGGAATCGTTGCCGGCACGGAACAGCCCTGAGCCTGAAATGTGACTAGGAGTAACAGGAGTTGGACACCTAAACCCTCTAGGACCAGAACACCTCCATCCCTCGCAACCCATAGAAAGATCTGGGCCTGTTGCTGCGGTCCTTCCTTTAGGGACTGGTTGAGCTGCGAAGAGCAGGGAGGGGAGGCAGGGGCTGGCTGGGTGTGGTTACCCCAAGGGAGCTGTGTTCTGGGCCAGGGCAGCAGGGCATGGGACCATGGCGAGGGCCCCAGGAATGATGGAGAGTCAGACAGCACGAGGGATCCTGGGAAATGCTCCTCACCAGGCCTCCTTCTCCAGGGCCTTGACGCGGTTCTGTAGCTGCTCGTTGAGCTCGTGCTGCTCCTCCAGCTCCCACTGTGCTTTCTTCCTGACACCCTCCAAGCGCTCGATCTCCTCCTCTGCCTCGTCCACCTGCCGCTTGAGGGCTTTGACACGCAGACTCAGCTGCAGGACATGGGCAGGCGTGGGGCGGGCTGGGCTGGGCTGGGCTGAGGGGTGACCCACTAGCCCCAGGCTGCCCCACCCCCTCCCTGTGCGAGGTTCAGAACATGCACACGGGTGTCTCATGCAACAGGCATGAGTAAGGGCCTGGGTTTGTGCTGCAGGCCCGAGGCCCCCCCACACCACAAGCGGCCTGGGGGTCGGTTATGTAAATGGTGACGCATACTCCCCAGCTTTGGCAGGGCATGCAGGCTTCCCCTGGTCCCCACCCACCAAGCACCTGGGAAGTGGCTGCCACGAATAACAGTGGAAAGAGATGTGCAAGCAGGGTAGGGCTGGGAACATGGGGGGCAGCGTGCGTGCACACGTGCGTGTCATACCTGGTCCTTCTGGTCATTCACGTGCTGCCTCTCGTCATCGATCTGGATAGTCAGCTCCTTCACCTTCCGCTCCAGCTTGCGGTTGGAAGACACCAGCACGTTCTTCTCCCTGGGAGCACATTGGATGTGCAGGTTTGCTCAGGCATGTGGCACTCACCTGCGTGTCAGTCACAGGCCGAAGTCCCTTGTGATACTGGGGCCCCATGCATGGGGAGGGGGGTGACTTCTACACCCCTTATGGGCTCTGCCTCAGTTTCCCCTCATTGTTATAGGGACCCATGACCTCTCTGGGCAGAGAAGTAGCAAGACTTGGCCCTTGGTTTGGCTTCTCCATGTGGGATACGGCTACACCAGTCCCACCAGTACGAGGTGCCTTCCTGGGCTCCAGGGTCCCCGAGTCTCTGCTTTACCTCTCCTCAGCCTGCAGCTTGTCCTGCAGCTCTTGGACCCGTGACTCCAGCTGCGTCAGGCTGGCGCTGGGTTTCTGCAGCCCCTCTGAGCTGGCCAGACGGCTCTTCAGGTCCTTGTTCTGGCAAGAGACATTGGAGACAGTGAGCAAGCCCCGTGCCTGCGGTGAGGGTGTGACCCTGGGCTCCTCTCCTCTTACATAAGCCCCAGTAGTGAGTCAGGCCTGGAGCTCCCTTTCCCAAAGGGATTTAACAAGCAGGGTTATATAATGGCAATTAGGAGCAGGGCCAGCTGGGCGCGGACACAGCCGTGAGCGGGAGGGACCCGGGCGCCAAGAACAGGCGGTGCCTTCACTCCTGCCGCATGCTGGAATGTGCCGGGGGTGCAGGGGTGTGACGGCCCCATCGCCAGGGGACAGCAACGTCTGCTGGGGCCAGGCTCCCCAGAGTTGGGGCCTCTACTGTGCCTGCCCTCATTACGGCCCAAAAAGAAGGGTGTGAATGCACCACACGCAGTCTCCCGTGGGCATACACTGCATGCATGTTGCCATGGGCACAAACCTGCATGCACACATCTGCACCCAGGGACATGGACATGCACGCATACACAGGCTCCTGTGGGCATGCAGTTTGGGTGCAACAGCCTTCAGCTTGGGGCCTCTTGACAAGGACACTGTGCAGAGCTCAGTTCCACTGCGCAGGTCGTTCATCTGCCTGCACCACCCAGAGCACAGGTCACCCACTGCAGACGGACTCTGCCTCCCCCCAGTGGCACTAGGAAGAGTTAGGGAGGTCTCCAGCCCATCCCACTTCATGCAGCCGGCAGAACAGTCCCTCCTAGGCTGGACCGCAGGCCTCACAGGAAGAGAGGTAAGAGGCCTCCAGAAAGTTGGATCAGTGCCCTGCTCCTGCGCCCCAACTGTGGCTGTCCTGGCTAAACCACAGACACAGAACAAGAACAGCTTGAGGAGCTCCTGTTAAATGAGCCTGACTCACCTGCAGCTGGCATGCAGTTGCATGACAGGGGCCCCCACAGTGCAAGCGCAGGCAGGCGGCCAGAGCACGTGGGACAGAGCAGCTTCATACATGCTGGGGAGCTAGGAACCTGCCTGCTAGATGTAGCCAGCAGCGCCAGAGCTGCCATAGGCAGGGAACAGCTGCCTCATGGACCCCAGTGCCAGCCAAAGCACTCAGTGCCAGGTGTGGGCTCAGGGGGCATCTCCATGTCAGCACCTCCCCCAGCCTCAGGCCTCCTGGGCTCAAGAGGGGCGTGCTGGAGAGCTGAGAGCCTCTGCAGTTTGGGGTGCAACTGCTTTCACTGCCTGCCAGGAGCCTCAGTAGCTGCACTGCATGAAGCTCACAGTGGCCAGGCCACATGGGTACCCTTCTCCCTGGCTCCTCCTATTTTAAGTCCTTGGAGGGGAGCAGATGGCTGGATTCCCTCTTGCCTGAAGCATCTCTGCCCCAAGAGCTCATGATCATGGCTGCAAGACAAGGTATCAGCTGACCCGGGAGGGGATGGAAGAGTGAGGAGATGGGTGCAGGAAGCAAAGCTGGCAGCTGATGCCCAACACAGGATGGGGGGGGGGGGGGGGGG